AATGCCCTAGGACTAAGCCTTGGAGAGGAGAGGGACCCGCGAGAAAGCGCAGAGGCGGTTTAAAGGGCTGAGTTCAAGCAGTCCGTCGAACAACCGAATCGGTTACGCCATCTCTTCGTCATCACGTAATTAGATATTCATTACATTATCGAATTGGAATGTGATTGCGAGACCTGACAGCGGTCCTAGTGGGGAGCAAGAAATCCAAGAAAGAAGGAATCCACTGGATTCCGTGATACTGGATGATCTTGAAGAGTTTTACATAGTAAAAATAGCATAACTAACCCCTTGGGTTCATACAAACTATCTAGCAGAAGAAGAGAACCACTCCATCCCGTATATCCATCGGTGCGAAAATTTCCTACATTCGAAGTGCATCCCTTGAGAAAGTTTGAAGGGAAAAAATCTCGACAGATCAGCATCGGGATAACAAAACCTTCAGTTAACTGCAAGTTATGGGAAAAAAGCCAAGGAATTTGCTTCGGCCAAGAATTCCTAGACGAACAAGCATCAAAGAAATTCATTTAGAACGTATGCAATGCTAGGCTAGCCATACCTATATACTAGACTTGGTTCAATTATTAACTGATTGAGGAAGGTACACACCAATTGACCGGCAGTCACGAACAAGTAATAATTAGTAGAAGCAAGAAAGGTGCAAGAAGGAGAACGAATTCACAACATCTATCTGCAGCTAGAAGCGGACATTCGGCCGACGTGAAAACGAAATGCTGAGAATAATAAAAAACAAAAAGAGCGTAGAAAACTCAAACAATCCAGATCCCTGAGTGTTGAGGACCAAGAAGATGGATCACGAAAATATTTTCAAAAAGATCCTGTTCTCAAAGCAAATTTCACAGCACAGGTAGTAATTTCGGAGCAGTTTGTAATATAACGCCTCTAGTCTCAATTATGAGTGGTGCTTATTGAGATGTAAGTAAACATTCTCAAAAAATGACTAGACGAAGATTCCAAAAAATATAGTGCAGTTATGATTATCTTGATCAGCGATAAAAAAAGAGCAAAATCTGAAATTAATTTTGCACCAGTCTGATATTATGCTTCCAAATTTACTATGAGGATATAAAAATGCTAAGACTTGAAGAGCCTAGTAATGAATAAGTAAATACTATGTATAAGTTCCATGATATCATTTTGTACCACACAGTAAATCTCGGATAACGAATTATTCGACCCGTATTGAAGGTTCGTCCGCGTCATTGATGAAAAGTGATGAGAGGGCAAATATTAAAAATACAACGCCTCCGACGAGCGTTACTGAAAACAGGAAACAAAAAATCTGGTAAATAATAATTAAATCACAAGAAAAAAAAGGAAAAGAAAGGTCTAGCTCACCTGTTCGTACAGAAATCCTTTGCGCTACTAATTTCCCTCCAATTACTGCTATTCCAGTGCAAATGGCATGACCAAGTATACCTCCACTGATCACACCAACTGAATGCACAACTTCTTCACTTCACCGTCAAAAAATGAAAGGAATGCTCATTTTTAGGAAAGATTAGCGTAACGGTGTACCTATATTCTCCCGAGCTGCGAGAATGATAGTCGTTAACTGAGAACGATCTCCCCATTCGGCTACGAATGTCATCGTGAACGCTTCGATGAGAAAATGAGCCATGCAGATGAAGAACTACTGAAAGGATTACCGGATTACTTTGTTCAATATGTGTGCCTAGAATAGAAAATACCTGTTGTTTTGAGCGTTTCCAGCTTCCATGTCTACAAACTTTCCAGCATCCAAATCCATTTCCCGTTTGGCCACCTCTGCCTGAGCTTCTTCAAACTCTTCCTGAAATATTAGGTATCTATTTATTTATTGAATGCGCTCTAAAGGCGCACTACAACAAAAAGTTATAGCCACAGGTTCTCTGTAAACCTAATATGTATAAAATATAAGAAAGATTAAAAAATACCAGCCGTAACCGCAAAAGAGAAAAATCAATTTTGAGAGTATTCAATTTCCCTTTAAAGAGTATAGAGAAAGCTTAAGATGTAAAGAGATCATAAAACAAATACATCAACCATGGCTCGTCGAGATGAAGAAAACATAACATTCATAAATTTCTAACACGCGCAAAAAGAAGCAGATTTTCGGGTAAGAAAAAAAGTAAAGAGACTGATAAGTAACCCTGTAGGACAGGAGGCTCACATAATCAGCTGAACCGATTCAAGAAAAGAGAAAAAAGTAGAATAGTACCAGAGCTATATACTAACCACTTTTAACACTATATTAGACCACGTTTGCATTCCCGAAACTAAGGCCCGTTTAGTGCTCCATTGCTCCATCATACCACACACGATCAACTCTTCCCTTTCAAAACACGAGAAGAGCGGCGGGTGCAGGTCATCGACGGCGGCCTACAAAAATGTAATGTTTTCTGCCAATGAAATGATTAGCCTGTTGCAGTTGTATTCTATCAGTTGTCACTAATTACAACTATCATTTACCAAAAATCAGCTATCACTATGAACCACTACTAACCAGATTTACTTGAAAGGCCGTCGTCACTTGTGGTGTATTTGGTCTGCACCCGACGCTCTTCGTTGCTTTTTGAAAGGGAATGTTATTCGTGGAACAGAATGCACGCAGTCGGCAATGATGCCCGACCCCGACACGCCTTGAGAGATACGGAAGCTTACCGAGACTTCGAGACACCGGGGCGTACATCGTCACCCAGTACTGGGGCATACCGACATCCCACGTGGAATCGGTAAGCTAGGATAGTGCCTGGATAACCACCAAGCAAAAGTGTAACGCAACCACAAGTAGACGATCCATGTAAATTCATGTCATAGAAGAGAACAACGGTGGTCCAATGAGGAAAAAGTGTATATATCTCCCCACCCAGGCACTCACGGTGCTAAATGGATATCACACGTAAAAAAAATTAACCACATGTCGACGAGGCCTTGAACAACAGGAGGAGATATACTGAACAAGAAATATGTAGAGCATATTGATGAAGGACTGACTTAACACCACTCGAGCGCGCTTAAAAACGCTTGGAAAACGAAAAGGTGTATTATTAATTACGTATTAGCTCACTTGTCCTTCACTGGCTGACATATGGTAACCTTCATGGAGCATTTTCAGCCCAAAAAGAGCGAAAAGCGCCGTCGAAACATAATATGTCACCATACGTGGAATAAGCTGTGTTACCCAGCCGAGACATGCTGAAAGTAAGCACAAATGGCTGATAGTGTGCACTGAATATCATATGAGAACAGCATGGGTCAAGAGCCATACAGAGCCATACAAGCAAAAAAGAATATGATGAAAGATTCGTGAGCTTTCTTGCTCTGTCATTCCTATGAGGAAATTCCGAAAGGAAATTTCGCATAACCCCTTAAACTCGAACGAAAGAATTCCATTGCAAAAGCAGCTGCATTTGCACAAAACATGATTTCAGACTAAGCACAAACTTCACTTCAGATCGCTTATATTTTTTGCACCACGGGCTTGTCAAGTCGTAGAGGAATAAAACCTCAAGAGTGACCAAAACAAGTAAGTCTTCAATAGAAAGAGACTCGATATCTCACTCCAAAAGCAATTATTCATCAAGCGGAAAAGAAACAGTTAATCACTGCAATTCGCAAGATCTAAAAGTGCCCGAAAAAAAGGTGGTCAGAGGTGCTATTGCTTACCTGAAAGCACAGTCATGAGAGCAAGAGCTCCCATTGCGCCAGAAAACACGGTAAGCCTTGAATGTCGCATTGCCATGATTACTGCTATAAACCATGTTTTGTCGCCCAGTTCCGAAACAATGATGACGGATAATGAAGCGAGGAAACCATGATAAAACGATATATCCAAGTCAGTCTTGAAAAAGATTCAATAATTCAATAGAGAAACGAATTATCAGTAGAGTTGGAGTAAAAAACCATAGAAACTCACTCTAGGTTTACCCGAAGACTGGGGCAACGAGTTAACAGGGACGTCAGGTTGTTGATCCTCGACGACTGGAGGATGATCAACTTGTCGAAGCTCTTCCTTGCTTCTTGACTCACTAGCTGCTGATAGCGCAGCAAGCGACGCTAGCACGAGGATCTTCAACCACATCGTCCTGAATGTTGAAAAATCCAGTGAGCATGAACACATGAAACACCACGTAACGTGCGATGTGGCGATTGTTTACGCCTAAATACGATCAGAGACCGAAAACAAATTCCATGATGTGCCGAACACAAATGTATTAATGAGGCCCTCCGCAATGGCTCTTTATAAAGCCTGCTTTGCCATCCAGTAATCCCTTGCTATTGCTACGCCCTATCCAGGAATTTTTCTGAGAAATGCATTCCAGAAAACATGACAAGTCGCTTACAAAATCAGAAGACCTACAGAGTATAAACCAAGTTTTTACATTGACCCCCCCCCAATTCGAGCTTGAACAAAAGAATTTTTTAAGAAAATTAAGAAATTCGAGCCTAACATCCCTTCTCATGAGCTTTACACACTCCAGGGGGTGAAAATAACCTTTCAGCGTTTTGCCACCTGGTCCGTTTTTTCACTTTGTTTGAGCTCATCCCATTCCCCTCTCCTGAATGAATATCATTGACTACTGCCGAAGCAAAGCCTCAAATTTCAAAATTTAAGCTTTACTCGAGCTTATGAACTTTACGACTTGACACCGCTGACTACTGCGCTTTCCAAAACAAATAAGTATAAAAACGTCGATTAATAATGAAATTCATTAATTTATCACGACTACGACTGTCTACTATCATTACTCATTAATGTTCAATGGGCGAAACTACAAAACGGATTAGATGAAAACTCGAAAGAAGCCGCCTCATGGTCTGAGTCACCTTTCGAAAAGCTCGCACATTGAAAGTGCTATCTATAGTTCCTGTCGTTGCCTTGTAGACACTAACATATATAAGGAAGGAAAATGTATAGCATATGCGAAATGTCGTAAAAAGACTAATCATGATTCACTGTGTAGGTTGAAATCATCGCACGAAGCACTGATTAAGTAAACGCATGCAAGCGGAAATGAGACGAGAAATGTGCCCGTTACAGCCTTTAAAACTCCAGTTACCGAAAGAATTCGTGAGCCACAAAGTTGCTCTAGACCTAATTAAAACATCGACTCCACTGATGTGTTGCCGTTTCCATGGTAAAAACAACATGTACTCACAAAGACTGCACGGGCGCAAAAATATTGTGCATGATTTATGTCCAGAAAAAGTAACAGTGAACCCAATTCACGACACAGGTGGATTATTAGATTACCTCATGAGAGCGATAGATGTAGTGCGGATAAAAAAAAACGCGCAGAGCCACCAGTTTAACCGTTAGCAAGATACAGTTTATACTTTCTACGTGACACCAATTGGACGAACCTGCAATTTAGAACAGCCTTTGGCCATTCCCATATCTCCATCTCAAAAAATTCGCTATGTTCAATGCACTTAACGATCCCATCCAAATTATAAACGCTTCTTCCTTGGGCCTTGTAGATCACTAGTACCGACTGAGCTATCACACAACACTTGAATTGCTTTTCATCTATCTTATGGAAAAGTGCCGCCTGCATTGCCAGACATCCTACCACTAAACCTCCGCCTGTCTGTTGCTCTTGTTATTGTCTGTTCACGAAATTCCCTAGCCCTGGCGGATCCTGACTCTTCTGGAGAAGCAAGGCTTAGAGTTGAGTTGGATTGCCCAGGTTCTCGATCAGTACAAACATCACCATCAACCAACGAGCCCCCGCCCACAGTGGCGCGGCCAGCGCGCGTCGCATGCAGTGTACGACGACGTACAGAAACTATTACCAGAACAGCCATCAACGCTGGAAAATGATAAAAGTGCATTGGTAAGTCACATCGAATTAAGGAGATCCACCCCCGGGGCGGGCGTTCCAAAAAAGCAGTGCTTTATGAAAAATTTCATAACTCGGTTGGGAGAAAGCCTACAGAGCAGAAAACAATTTGTAAGGGAGCAATGTCAAGGGTGTTCTGGCATACATGACGTGGGCGGAGGCCCGCCCAGAATGGGCGGGGCGCGCTCTGAAGGATTGCGTATACAAAGCCCTCATTAATTCAGGCCGACAAAGCCGGGGAGCCGGAATAAGCGGTAGAGGTGGTGGAGAGCAGAGGTCAACTTTCATCGGTAGGCGGAGCATGTCTTGAGAGGCGAGTTTGCGACGAAAATTCACAGCTCGGTTCCAAGACGTCCCAGAGACCGGGAAAAAGTTGTTCGCGAAACTTTATAACTCGGCTTCAAAGTTAGTCCTATATGACCGGGAAAAAATGGAGTTGACCCGTCAGCGAAGGAGTCAACTGCTACGGGTAAGTTGATCATGCAACAAGGTGGGCGAAATTTGCCAAATTTATAACTCGGTTCCAGGAAGTTCCAGAGTTCGGTTTAAAAGTGGGGAGAGGTTGGCGAGGAAAAAAAAGATAGGTAGGACATGCAACGAAAGAGGCGGAGTTCACTACAAGATTTATAAATCGGTCCAGAGGCAGTCCGAGACCGAGAAAGCGAACAATTGGTTGACGAAGGAGGGAAAGTACCTCAAAAGCCATCGGTGGATAGAACATGGCAATCGGCAGCAGCCCTGAAACGTCAAGAATATTTCGAATTTAGAGCGCCAAATTCGAGAATTTACGCCGCCTCATCCCACATCGCCGCCAGGAATGCGTTGTGCGCGCACACGTGCGGGTCCAACTGGTATGCCATAACCGAAGAACCCTAACATAGCCTCCTATGGTCCTAACGCATGTGGAAGCCTTTGGCCAGCTTGAATGAATCCTGGTGGGAAGGGACGAGATGCTCAAGGTTTGGAGGCGCGCCGCGTGGAGAACGTGTTGCGGTAAGATAAGCACACTTCCACAACGCAACATACACACAACATCCAAAATGATCGACAGCTGACACACAAGAGGAACTCTTGGAAGATAAGGATTCTTAAAGATACTGTGTGAGGGCCTCTTGGTTTGGGGTGGAATGTTCGCTATAGGAGAGAAAACTCCGATTTTTGTTTGAATGCAAACGAAAACGATAGCGCTGAATTCTTTCAGGACGCTGAGCGGCGAGGCTTAACCGGATGTAAGCAGCACTTCTCTCGATTGATATTCCAAAAGGAATTATGCAAGGAGTGGAATCGACAAAGGGCAATTTAAGTATTGGTTCAGCAAAAGCAATTGTCCACCAGCGAAACAACCCTCACTCTTCGCTTTTTCTCCATATTGAGTAGTGTAGGGCAAATAAACAACAAAAAACGACCACTTCGAACAGCCATTCTTCGATATGAAGCCGCATGGGCATGCCGAGTTAGACGTGAACTATGTATGGCACACTTTAGATTTCCTTTTACCATGTTTGAATGGTTGTTGAATGGTTGCGAAAAATCAAAAGTCGGAGTCAAAAATGTATAGAAATAAAGACCGACTTCAGAGCACGTTTTACAGTGTGATCTTATGTCCAAACTTCGTAACAACCCTGTCTCTCACGATGTAAAACCAAGCTGTACTGAGCTGGAATGCATTCAGAGAAAACAAACAAGGAAATTCAAGAGGGAAAAGAGACAGCCATAGGGAAGATGATCCCAGAAATTGCGACAAACGCTCACCAAAACGAAGTGAAAACGGGTAGCTTTTAGGTAGTACACATGAGGTATATGAAGGGAAGATGAAGTCTTCCGAGTGTTTTGAAATCCTTGACAAAACACGATTGAATGACCAATCAATGATCCCAACATAATACAGAAAGGAAATGAAGAGCGAAAAAGGGCAAAAAAAGATGGCAGCCACAGGAGGAGGTACTACAGTTCCAATTTTGCGCGACCTATCGCGAATAGTGGCGCTAGGATCGTCTTCACTTGTCCCTCTAACAAGAGGACCTCCCACGAAATGATGGCATCCTAGTTGTAAAACAATCTGCGTTATCGACAAGCGCAACCCATGCTTACACACACAACAATGCTCTCAAAGGGATGATTCATAACGGGCAAGTACGGAAATGATGGTTGACGGAAAGCTGGGAACCATTTGCTGGGGCAGTTTCCTATAGTTCCCTGCTACAGAGCAAATGCTCTGTCCAGTCCAATGTCATTGAACGAAGAACCTTCGCTTATAAAAAAGAAATGCGCAGCTAAAAGTCAAATCAAAATCTTAAGCAAAATAAAGAATAGAATTGAGATTCCAGGAAAAAACTTCAGACCTATATGAAGCGAAAAGGTATTTTAAAAATTCATAAAATTCATGCATCACGGTCGAGAGCAAAACAAAGGGGAAGTCGAACCAAGGATGAATTTTAATCTTGATGGATCAAGCGACGTGGCGGACTACATTTCACGTAACAACGCTCTCATCTGCTGTTTAGTGCGGCGTGTCGTAGGAGCGATTTCGATTTGCATCGGGGATTTTTTGGAGCATGATGTTAGTAGATCTTGATGACCCATGTCGTTGAGTCTGTATGAGGTGAAAACACTTTGAAAGCACTGGGAACGTTCTATGGTTTCCGTTCACTTTCTAGGGTATTCCTCCTTGATAAGACTTACTTCGTCAATTCTACGAACAGTATCCTATCTTCTGAATTGATCTTGCCATACCTAGTTTTATGTGAAATAGTTCGGAAACGTGTGTGACTTGTTTCTGTGCCACAAAACAAAATCTTCTTCCTTCTCTAGGTGCTCTTCGCTTTGGTACACAATGACCGACAGTAAAGACATTGGATGGATGTACGAAGGAGCTAAGTCTCTTGTGAATCGGGAGGATTATCTCTTGGGAAAGAAGGTTGGTTTGAATACACTTAAAAAAGCGAAATGGACCGTACCTCCAGATTGTGTCCTTATGATATACGAAAGCCGTTTAAAAAACCTTCATGTTGGTGGCCGTAGTCAGCATCATGGCCTAAGGAAGAAAAATCCACTCTTTCTCGCCCCAACTTTCATAGTTTCTTTACATTCACGGATGTTTACTCTGACTCGACACACTTACAAATAGCGCTTTCTTAAGCGGTCATGGGAGGGAAAAAATTCAAAAGCGTTTTCTTCTCCTACCCTGGGGGGGGGGAAGATAGCATAGCTCCAGGTGAGGGTGAATGCACTGAGACAGCTTGGTCTAGGGGATTCCCTCTAACTTCTTGGGTGGATTCAAGGATTTTGCTTTAGACACGAAATAGCGGACTTTCCCTAGGGAATAGAGAGAAGGCATAGGGACCGCTCTAGGAGGTTGGCTCTCACAATATGTTTTGAGTTTTACATGCTTTTGCTAGAAACGTAGTACACCATGTGTTTATAAGTGGTTTCTGTTGCTTCCAATAAGTGTTTCGTTTGGCGTTATAGATTATCTCTTCATGATTTTTAGGTCGACAAGAACTTCGAGAAGTACTCAGATGCAGTGAATGAGCAGAAGCCTGATGCATTCGAAGCTTTACTTCACACTCGGTAATTATACATTCCATCCAATTTACCGTTATAAATTGCACAGCTTGACAGGGGCGCAATGTGGCCTCGGGGGGGACCAGTCGCCGCGCGCGGCCGTTGCGGCAACAGGAAATTCGTGAGCCAGGGGGAGTGTAGCCAATTCAGGGGGGTTGGGGGTGAGGGCAGTCACATGACATGCGTGAGAAGCTGGAATGTTCGAAGCTTCCTGTTGCCGCACAGCCGCGCGCGGTGACTGCCCCCCCCCCCCGAGGCACATTGCGCCCTGACAGTTTGTTTGGCAGAGATAGAAATTAGAAACACCACCAGTGGGCTAAATTACGCATTATGCAGTAGTGTTATGATGCTATTTACAGCACCGGTTTTCAAACGACCAAGCCTCTGACCGCAAAACGCAATGCGTTGAGAAAGTTAATTGTCGTTGGCAAACGGAAATACCTCTGTAGGTGTTAAGGTCACGTGGTCGCTGTTGTAGACTTATACTTTCATTATTGATTGGTTCTATCGAATTCGATCTCTTTTCCGAAATTGAGGACTGCGAATTACGAAAGAATTGTGGGAGTAATCAGTGTTATCACATCACCAGGAAGTCCAATCCACCAATCCAAAAATCCTTCTATGACTGCTTGGATGACGAGCGTCTCAATCAACTCTTCAACTTTTCAAAGCAACCAAACCACCCATCTCTTCACTAGGTATTAATCATTCAAAAGACTACGCATCGGATAGTCTGTAAGGGTATCGATTGAAGGGGGCTCTAACCGCGATGGATCGCTCCTCTGCCACAACTGGCCAACTGCAGGAGCGACGGATCGCTCAAGCGATTGGTGCAAAATCACTCCATCGTCACATTGCGTCAGTCTGACATGGCCACTCTCACCGCCATGGTTATGAGATTTTAAGGAGTGTGGCAGCGGTTGAAGTGTTGTATGAGAAAAGCTCCGTCTCAAAGTATGGCGAGTACTTTCCAATTGGAGAAATGATAAAAAAAAAAAGAAAAAAGAAAAACACGAAGTAACATCTGATATCTTACCTTCTAAGCGATTGAAGCTGCTAAGACACAGTGTATGAATGGGTATATCACAAAGTGAATAAGGAGTAGAGTCTTCATGCTCTCGTCACTTTTTATTATATTAGTCGCGAGACTCCAGCCTTCATATTTTCACTTACAAGACTAGCACTTCCTATAAACTACAATTTCTTTGCTTTAGCCAGTTTTCACATATTTTCCACTTGTGGGTGTAATGGGCTTTTCTCATATCGCTGTACAAGACTCACAATGTGCCATTCTTGAGGAGTGTGATGGTTTATCACTTGCTCTAAGCCTGTAGAATAATATAAGCTGTGAAACCTTACTCCCGTTCTCTGCTAGTGGTATTGTAGTATAACCATTGAAATTTCTCATTTAACAATGTTATTGAATGAATATAAAATTTTCCTTCAGGTTAAAGAAGAAACTCGTCGTCGCGAAGTTTTAGACAATCCGCTGGTGAAGCTAAAATTTCAAAAAATGTTGAAAGAAATGATGGCGGAAAAGGAAGCTAAAGGTGACAAGAAGAAAAAGAAGAAGAAAAAGAAAAAGGCGGACGACATCGAAAAACCGAAAAAGCAGAAGGTTAGAAATAGTGTTACGGAGATCTTGATGAACTTCCCGTGATCTCAATTAGTTTCAGAAGAAAAGGAAATCTCGTGAGCTATCAGAGAAGGAGGTTCAGCAACAAGGTTTCTCCAAAAGAAAAACTCTCATTCACAGGTAATTACGCTCTTCAGAGGAAGAATTCGATTTTTTTTTTCGAGTAAAAGTGGAAGAAATCGTTGCATATAGGGTTAAGCTGTCTGTGGAATAGAGGGTCTATTGTCGGGCATGTTTAGCTCTGCAATTGAACTAGAGTCAACTTTATCATTGCATGTTTTTCTTAGAGTAAGGGCATAAAGTGCTGTCTGTGCAAACGCAATGCATCATGTTTGACCAAAGTCGTGCCTTTTTCTGACGGTTAATTTTCGTCTGTTCACAGAAAGAGTTGCACAATTTGCAACAGATTTCTCAACGGGAACACCTGTTAAATGTTTCGGAAAATTTGATATGCCTCACAAATTTTGAATAGGGTAAATCTTAGGGCATCAGGTTGCTTAAAAGTTTGTTTTTTCGGCTATGTCCGAAAATTCTGTGTTATGTCAATAGATGGCTCTCTGAGCAAAAAAAAAATCATTGGTTGTGAGTAGAAGATCGACCCATTGGCCAGTGGTCTGTTGGTGATGGTTGCCGTCTAATTGTTGCTTTGTGATCATCGATACGCCCTCACTATTTCAGTTTAACCGGTGTAGTAGGTTTTTGCCGAGTTATGCCTGGGAGGATTTCATACAGAGATAGAACGGTGATATTTACTCGCTCCTTCTCCAATGGGACGGAACCTTGTGCATGCAGAGTATCAGATTGCTAATTGCCTTCCAAGCCTCCAGAAAGAAAATTATATCATCCGATATTTTTTCAGAGAGCCCGAGATAGTTCCGATAACGAATCAGATGCAGAACAAAGAGCTCCTCGGAGGCGAAATGGTTCTGGCGAAGCTAAAAAGGACGGACATTTGAATTCCACCTTGCACCAGAAAAAGAGCAGGTCTCATCACAGTCCTTCTCGATCTAGGGAGAGGGAAATCCATAGAAGAACGTCATCTTCGCCAGTGGATACAAAGCCTCGGCGCGAAAGGTCATTCTTCGTCGGACAAGAGGAGTGACTCTAGACTGAAACGAGACCGCCGTCGCAGCAGTACGTCGTCTTCACCGGAAGGTAACCGATCTAGAAGAAGTCCATCAAGAGGAAATGATCGTAAGCGTATCAGGTCAAAATCAAAGGAACGCCAACGAAATTCTAGTTCTCCAAGAAATCAACGAAGGAGGACACCATCTCCAAGGCCTACAAAATCTTTATCATCAAAACACAAGAGACGGCACAGTAGTTCATCAGTATCACCGAAACGAAGAGGGGAAAGAGGGTCGCCAACGGGGAAGAAGGAAACGTCACGTGAGGCGGGAAAGAAACGTAGTCGTCGTCGCAACCGAAGTAGTTCCAGCTCATCGTCAAGTTCTCCCTCCTCATCTTCACGCTCTTCTTCTGAAAGGCCGGTAAAATCTCATTCCAAAAATGCCAGCGAGAAAAAGAGTCGTGACTCGTTTGTGGATGTTTCTCAAGCCGACAATAGAAAGTCCTCAAGAAAGTGATGATCACAAGCTTGGAAAAGCGTGAGTTGTTTGTTTTCCAAGTTTCTCTGTGATATTGTCAGATATTATCAGATAGTAATTCAGGTGTTCATCGAA